CGAATTTATTAAGTCTAATTAATCCGTCATTAGCAAATATTTACTGTAGCACCACAGTATCAAATCATGGCATAATTAAGCTTAAAAGATTTGTCTCGCAATTTACACGTAAACTGTGTAATTGGTTTTTATTTTTATCAACATCTAATACTCTATGTATGTGTCTAAATATTCGATGTGATGGATGAAAAATTTTTATTTTAGCAACTAAACAAAGCCTTTGTGCTACATGGCTGAATATTAAGTCTTTCGAAGTGGTCATACAAAAATTCTCGTTTGAGCTGTGCTGCAAGAAACTCTGCATCTATCGCCCTGACACGCGCTTCATTACGATGAGGTTGGCAAGCCTGCAGGACATCCTCGTCTAGTCGTTTGCACATGATGTAGCCTGTAGCCTGTAGCCATACAAGAGAGCACGACCAAATTACTGGAGTATGGTACGTTGCTGCACCGCGTACTGTTGGGAATGGAAGGCGACTAATCAACCTCAGAGGCCACATCCCATGTGGTCCTCTTCTTGAAGACGTCTTTTACCCTCTACTGGAACGGCAGCAGTAAATCGCATTGCCTCCCAGTAGTCAATGGCCATCGATCACGAGCAAGCAAGGCATTGATACGCGCGTACGTACAGTCAGTCCTACACACATCCGTAGTGGTATATACTCCCTCCGTACCAAAAAAAAAGACAAACTCTATTTTTCGTGCCTAATATTTGACCGTCCGTCTTATTTAAAAAAATTATGAAAAAAATTAAAAAGACAAATCACGCATAAAATATTAATCATGTTTTATCATCTAACAATAATAAATATATGAATTATAAAAAAAATTATATAAGACGGACAATTAAAATTGGACACGGAAATCTAGGGTTTGTCTTTTTTTTGAGACGGAGAGAGTATGGTACAGTGGTTCATGCCATGTCAATGCCGGCCTCACGAGGACGGCTAGCTCGCCGTGTCGACCGCGCCACCGCGAACGGGGCGTCACGGCCTGAAACTGCAAGTGTGTTCCTTATTCTCGGTTAGAATTCAGAAATTACTGTATTTCCTCTGAAACCTCTGCAGGTGTACGTACGTCGTCGCGCTTGGTCGGTGACATGAATAACTAGTCCAGTACGTAGTCCGTACGTACATGTACGCGGATGATCCCCGTGCTGCGTGGTCCGGGTGCAGCACGTCATCTCCGGCCCAGCCAGCCTACGCTCGTGACAAGTGTTGCTCGATCGTTCGTTGCAATTGACCTTGGAGCTAGCCGGTCGGGCCATGGCTTCGCTTAAGAACGACCGTCAATGTCTCTGCAAATTAAGCCCAAATCCAGTGCAGGATCAGTGCGGAGACAAAACCGATGGCGATATAACCGAATCGGCCGATCGATCCATTCCATGTGTCGCGCTCGACCATCGCTACGCCTTCACGACAGCCCGGCGCGGCAGGCACGTCGTCTTGCGGATCGAACAAAAGTGGGCGATGTGTTCGGCACCACCGGCCGCCGCCCGCGCGTCCCGTGGAGAATCCGAATAGAATAATCCACTACTACTAGCAGTGTTACATTTCGCCTCACAGAGGCTCACAGCTTCCACGGGAGAAGGCGTCACGGGGAGCTACGCCCGGACGCCCCCCATCGTCGTGGCGAGCGCGAGTCGCTTGCTCGATACTCATCGCTCGGTGTGGCAGGGCAGCAACGGCAGCGCGCGCACGGGGGGGGTCCACACGGTTTCCTCCGCAAAAAAGCCGCTTTCTCTCGGTCGTCGTCGCTTTTCCAACCGTGAAATCTCCCTTCTTCCACACCGGCCTTTGGAGGCTTGGAGCTACTAGCTTTTTTGTTCGTGCAGCCATGTGGCGGCAGTGCGCTTGCCTGCCTGCCTGCGCTGCGGCTGCGCAATGCTCTGCACTTGACCAGATCGTGATGTAGTAGTAGTATGATGTAAGGGCATTACCAATGTATATGTTAAAAGTGGTTTATATAGATGGGACCCATATAAATAAACTTTAACTATAGCAATCTCACAATGTATATGGATACAATGTAACATTAGGAGAAGAGAGAGAAGTAGAGATATATAATATTATTTATGTCATATAGGTAGTGTATATGCATATGGATATCTTTTGCTATTTTCTTTATATGGACTAGTTGCCCAGTGTTACTAAATGGCTAAATGGAATAGTTTATTCCCTATGGACTACTTTTGTAGCACATTGTGGATGCCCTAACTGTTGTAGATTAATCGCGACTAACAAAATACCTGTCTTGCCTTGACCGTGTGCTTCCGATAATCCGATGCACGTGATGTGTCGCTAAAGCGGCTCACTGGCTCAGGATGCACCGTGCGTGTTACTACCACCGACTGCAAATACACGCGGATCGACAGCTCAGTGTGGTGGTGGCTTCAGCTTGGCGGCCAAGAAACTTCAAAACCATATTATGGCATCCTTCCAAAATTTTAGAAGGGAAGAAGAGGAGCTATGATATAGACAGTGCGAGCCGGCTACCATGTACACTTGATAATTGGACACCTTCACAGTTCACACAATGCCACCATCATATCACCATAAGCTTTATTAAGGGATACTAGTCGACCCTGCCTTATGCGCCTAGAAACTTAAGCACGCTGCATGTACGAATGACTAATTAAGTGTGTGAATGTACATTGGCGAATCTAGAGATCTTTTAGAACATGAACAAACATATATGTCCAAAGGATTATATGGATGCCATTGAACATCAGCGATGGAAGCTATTACATTGATGTGACTTGTCAATGAGTTCGGACGGTTGCCCGAAGGTAACCACTAGCCAGGTCTTGGATCCGCTCCCAAAAATATACAATTAATTATTTCTTTAATTAATTAAATGTGGAAACAAAACTAGCTAGGCATTATGCAGTTGGTCACAAAACGACATGTTTTTTTAGCTGGAAGAGTACATTTTACTGCTAGCTTGAAGTGCACGAGCTCGGGCGGTCGTCCGGGGTCACCAGGTCTTGGATCCGCCCCCCAAAAAAATACAATTAACTATTTCTTTAAATGTAAAAACATATGTGTGTGAAAAAGGTTAAAAACTAGCTAGACATTATGCAGCTGGCTACAAAACGACATGTTTTTTTTCTTGGAAGAGTACATTTTACTGCCAGCTGAGAAATAGTGTGAAGCTTAACTCTAGGTGCACAAATTCGGACAGTGCCACTCATGGTCGGCAGGCCTTGGATCCTCCCCCAGGAACATACAATTAACTTTTTTTTGTTTAAATATGAAAAAAATATATGTGTGGAAAGGTTTAGAACTAGACATCATCCAGCTGGCAATAGAACGACATGTTTTTTTTTACATCATCGAGTTGGCAACAGATTGACATGTTTTTGTGACTGGAAGAGTACATTTTTACTGTCAGCTTTGAAATACTATGAAGCTTAACGCTAGGTGCACGAATTCGGATGGCCTCCCGTAGTCGCTAGGCCTTGGATCATCTCACAGGATATACAATTAACTATTTTATTTAAAAGAGAAAACATATATGTGTGAAAATGTTCAGAACTAGACATCATGCAGCTAACAACAGAAACGACATGTTTTTAATTTGTCATAGGAAGAGTACATTTTACTTCCAGCTTAGAAATAGTATGAAGTTTAACTCTAAGTGCATATATATGAACGGTCACCCGTGGTCACCAGGCCTTGGATCCTCCCCGGGAATATACAGTTAACTATTTTGTTTAAATGTGAAAACATATGTGTGTGAAAAAGGTTAACTAGATCACCATGCAGCTAGCAACAGAACAACATGTTATTGTGACCGGAAAAGTACATTTTATTGCCAGCTTAGAAATAGTATGGACCTTAACTCTAGGTGCACGAGCTCGGACGGTCGCCCAGGGTCACTAGGCCTTGGATCCACTCCTAGGAATACACAATTAACTATTTCTTTCAATGTAAAAAGCATGTGTGTCAAAAGGTTTAGAACTAGACATCATGAAGCTGGCAACAAAATGGTATGCTTTTAACTAGAAGAATACATTTTACTAGCATAGAAAATGGTATGAAAGCTTAACTCAAGGTACACGAATTTGGATGGCCACTCGGCCTTGGATCCTCCCCAGGAATAAACAATTGACTATTTTGTTTAAATGTGAAAACATATATGTGTGAAAAGGTTTAGAACTAAACATCATACAGCTTGTAACACATCACGACATGTTTTTATGACTGGAAGAATACATTTTATTGCCAGCTTCGAAACAGTATAAAGCTTTAACTCTAGGTGCAGCAGGTATGAAAGCATACTATTTATTTTACTAGAAAAAAATGTAAACATGTAAATATCCAACTTTGCAGCGGAATATGATCCTCCGACGTAAATTAACATGTGACAATTGCCACATGACCCCACTTGTCAGCCACAAAGTTATGGTTATGTTATGCCAGAGGATCTGATTCGGCATGCGGATCCTTGGGCTGGTTGGTTTGCATGATATTTTCGTAGCAAAAACTAGTTGTAGTTGAGTCCATGGCTCTAAAATTCTCCTAAGGTCCGCCATTGATCTCCCCATGCAAGAGGGAGGCATGTCTCAGAGAGGCCTGTAGCGACTAGCGAATGAGCAGGGGTCCAACAGGCCAACAGGAAGCTCGTACCAAGACTTGCAGGCAGAAACCTACATGAATGAATGCCTTGATTGCGTGCCGGGCAGTCTCCCCACATTCGCAGCAGCATGCAGCTGACACCGATCGAACAGGGCGCACGTACGTACGTCCGAGGTTGGCCAGTGGAAAGTGCGCTGCGCTGCGACGGGTGGCAACGGAACGCAACGCGCCCCATATGCATCGCATCCGTTTCGTCGCTTCCGCCTTGCCGGTGGCTGCCAAAATTGCCATCCCCTGGCCAGTAAATCAGCAAGGGGCAGTGGCGCAGTGTGCAAGCTGGCCTGGGTGTAAGACGGTACAAAAGTGGTGCGTAGCGCATGTGAAACTGATGGTGAAACACATGTGACGCGAGACGAGACTTGAGGCGGGGAGAGGGCTATCAGGCAACCCCACCGCACCACCGGAACCACCACCTCACAAACACCGTCACCAAACGCCGACTTAATACCCTTAAAAGCGACCCGATCCCCAGTCCGGGCAACGCAAACCCCCACATTCCTCCGCTGCTGCTGCGTCGCGCGCGCGTGTGTGCAGTGCACCGCCCGTTCGCGGAGCCGATTGATTTTACAACACCGCGCTCGCTCGCGGTCGCGGGGGGGGCGGAAGCTGGTACTACTCGCTATCATGAACGGTGGCATTGGCGACGCGCTGATGCAGCCGCAGCACGTGCAGGTCATGTCGTCGTCGTTGCCGATGGTGGCGTCGACGTTCGTGGCGGAGCCGGCGGCGGCGGCCAACAAGCCGAGGGCCGCGGGGCTGCCGCCCACGCCGCCGCAGGTGTTCGCCGCCCAGCGCGCGGCGGCGGCGGCGGGCGGCGACGTGTGCATGGAGGAGTCGGCGCAGGGGGGTGGTGGCGGGCTGCCGCCGCGCAAGGCGCACCGCCGCTCCAGCAGCGACGTGCCGTTCGGGTACCTGGCCGGGCAGCACCAGCTCCTGCCGCCCAAGGTGGAGGCCGGGTGGGGCCACCTCGGCGCCGGCGCCGGCGGCGCGGCGGCCGCCGATGACCTGTTCAACGCGTACCTGAACCTGGAGGGGCTGGACGGGCTCAACTCCTCCGACGACCGCCACGACGAAGGGGACAGCCGCGGGAGCAGCATCAAGACCAACGGCGCCGACAGCAGCGAGAACGAGTCGGAGGAGTGCGCCGACGACACCCGCGGCGGGATCCGCCTCTGGTCCGCCGACGGCGGCGAGAGGAGGGAGGGCGTCAAGAGGAACGCCGCGGGGGAGCCGGCCACCGCGCCGCTGGCCCGTCACGCCAGGAGCCTCTCCATGGACAGCCTCATCGGGAAGTTCAACTTCACGGCGGGGACGGCGGCGGCTGCGGGGAACGGTGTCGCGTTGGGGCCGAACAGGTTCAGCCTGGAATTCGGCAGCGGCGAGTTCACCCCCTCCGAGATGAAGAAGATCATGGCCGACGAGAAGCTGGCCGAGATGGCGCTCGCCGACCCAAAGCGCGTCAAGAGGTAAATAATATTCGATCACTCTCCCATCCATCCATATCGTCTCGCAAATGCAAATGATTAGAAAACGATCGATGATTGCAATGTATATTGAGCGCTACGACATGAGGGGATCGATCGACTGATCGCTGAGAGCTTTCTTCCTCCGGTGACAGGGTGCTGGCGAACAGGCAGTCGGCGGCGAGGTCCAAGGAGAGGAAGATGAGGTACATTGCGGAGCTGGAGCAGAAGGTGCAGATCCTGCAGTCGGAGGCGACCAATCTGTCCGCGCAGCTCACGATGATGCAGGTAACACGCACTGATCCCTTCGCCTTCCCGCTTTCTCGTGCAATTGCCGTCTCATCGTCCTGATCGCCTTTTTTCCTGCGTGAAATCCACACGGTTGTTTACGTTGTCTGTGACTGTTTTGGCTTTTGGCAGCGCGACTCGGCGGGGCTCGCGACGCAGAACAACGAGCTCAAGTTCAGGCTGCATGCCATGGAGCAGCAGGCGCAGCTGCGCGACGGTACGTGCCTCCCCTAAACCTCCTCGATCACTCGCTCCTCCCATGTTTGTGCTCGCCAACGTCATAAGATACTTTAGATGTGCTCGGCACTATGATGAACAGTCTTGTGTAAGTTATTGACGTTGACATGCTTGTTTGTCCTAGTGCTTGTCAACTGTTGCCATAATCTCGTGTTTTTGCGCTTGGAGGTTGGTAGTTAGCTTTTCTTTATGCATATATTTTTCTCTCGGGAAGCCGGTGGTCGTTAGTATGTACTCCTACTACTGGTAGGGAGGAGGACATGCCTTAGCAATCATCCAAGAACGAAGATTTGCTATTGTGCGTGCCTTTTCCCCCAATCAAAGATAAAATATATAGTATGCCCTATGGCGTCTCTGAAGTCTGAATCCGTTAGTTGCTAGCATGTTAGGAGCCTGCAGTCCCGTGTAGGAGAAGAATGTTTTGGAGTATTCAATATTCTGCGGTGACTTCTCCAGATTGCCACCCTAGTTTTCAGGGCTTTCACGTATCAAATGTTTCTCCTTGGATGCCATATTGCCATGTGATTGCCACATTTCCTTCTCTCACAAGGAGTCTTTCGTTTCAAGAATCTACACTGATCTAGGATGTCTACTGCCTTTTACATGATGACTTCATCCTTAAGGGTTAATCTATCTATTAATGTTATGAGTAGCTGTATTTTTACCAAGATGAATTCATCCTATTGCAATATACTGTTAAACACTGCACCATGAAAGTATGCCACGAATAGAGTTCAGGAATTGTTCACTTGTTAGTTCTGGTTTTGATGCTCAGTTCCTCACTGCTTCGCCATTATCTTATGTTCAACAGCGCTGAATGAGGCCCTGACAACCGAAGTCCAACGCCTAAAACTCGCCACCGCTGAGCTCGGCGATTCTTGCTCGTCCAGCAGTCTAGCTCAGCAGATCCAACTCAATGCTCAGAATCAGATGTTTCAACTGCAGCAGCAGCAGGCTACGCAGATACCATTCTATCAACTGCAGCAGTCACAACAGAACGGTGCAGCGAAGAACAATGAATCAAAAGAATGATTCCAGAGGCATTTTGGGCTGGTTCATGGAAAGAGAATATTGGTTTAGATGAGCGCAATTCGCATATTCCTAACTCATTTGTTTTAATGTTGTTAATAATCACCTTGCATTTTTCTAGTAGGTGGTGGTTGGTGAACCTCCTTTTACCTTTCTATGTTCATTGATTCTTTGGATGATACAGTTGTCATTTTTAAGTTACCAAACTGATGAAGTTGTAGGTGATTGTTATTCTTTTGTACTAATATCTATGTCGAGTATTTTGAGTACCCCGGTTCGTTAAGATACACTTGTATTTATCGACAAAAAGGAATGTGGGGAACATTACATAAAATTGCCATTGCCAACCATTCACAATAAAAACTAGTTATGCCAGGTCATACGAAAATGATAAAGAGAAATTTGAAATGAAATGAAAAAAAAATGCACATTGAAAAAAATGGTACAAGCTCATACCCGAGTGCAGGGTAAAATGGTTAAGATATTTACGAGGAAAAGTAGCTGCCTTATAGCCTATCCAACAGAATCTTCAACCATGGCCTCCTCACTGTCGCTATCTGTATCATTCGCCTCACTGCCTTCCTCAGTCTCCGCATCAGACATCAGATCATCTTTTCCAACACCACTTCCTGGGAGTTGCTTTCTGAAATCTGGATCAACAATTTCGATCATAGCATTAAGAACACGATGATGATCGGTTATTTTACTGATGACATGATCAATATTACTCTGGCTCCCAGCAGCCTGTCCATCAGAGTTCACTAAAGCATCAGCTGCTGAGCTCCCTCTGACATTTTCATCCTGCTCCCCGGCATGGTCTGTAGTCTCCCCCAAGCTCCTAGGAGACTCATTCTCCCCATTGACAGATGGACCTGTTTCCACTGCCCAGCTACCAGCAACTTCTGAGGCCAACAAATCAGCTGTACCAATGGTTCTGGTCTGGGTATCCTCGTGTTTTCTCTCAGAACAGTTAACCTCAAGTTTTTCTTCAGAATAGTGACCAATGCCATCTTTGAGGGTTAACGAGGCTTCCTCATTTCCTTGTGGTTGCCCTCTATCTTTGCAAATCAAGATGGACTCATCATTCTCTTGTGGTTGCACTTCATCATCTAGCTGCATGGTATCACCTCCCATTTCACTAAATCTTTGAAGAGCTGAATTGTGATCACCACAGCCAACATTACCAGCTTGGCTTTCTGTCTCGGGAACTTGCTCAGTATCTGTTGGCTCTAGCTCAGGAGCTGTAGCAGCCAGATCACCATGAGAATCAGACCTGAATCTCTCTGTTGCCATTTCTGGACTATTGCACTCTACCTCTTGAGTGTTTGCCCCTTCAACTCTGGTAAAATCATCCTGTTGTTCAGTCTCCTTGGAATCATCACTTGAACTTTGTTCACTTGCCTGGGTATTCTCTGTTGAAGCACCAGAAGCTTCCATTGTATTTTTTGAGTAGTTTACTCTCGTGCGGGCATCGTCAGCAGTTACAGTTGCCAGTGGCACTTTATTGAGATCATCACCCATGATACTGTTCTCATAATTCTCTTCATCCTCCAGAGTTCTCTGCATTGCTTTAAGCTGTTCCTGCTGTTTTGCAAACAGAGAAGATATTTCCTCTGTAGTTGAATAGAAAGCACGCAGCTGAGTCTCCCTGCAGTAAGCAACATAGGAAACAAAAGAAAAGGTAAGCTGATTTGTAGTTTCACAAACTTGGGGTTCACCTCTATATGAAACTCAAACAATGTTTCTTACCGTAAAATAATTCTCTCTCTTGCTCCTTGATACCTCTGTTTCTCGATTGATAGATCTCTAATTGTAGCAGCTATTTCAAGCTCAAGAGCTGAGACCTTTGCCCATGCTTCTTCCCGAGCAGCCTGCTAACAGAAGAACACAGATAATCAGCTAGTAAGTAAACAAGAGCAATCCTCTATGCATGCGAAGACCAGGGTAGATTAGCTTATGTGATGAAAACATCAGAGGAACTTGAAATCTTTTTCTACCTTCTCGTGTTCAAGTTCTTTCTTCACTTTTCTCAGATCCATTTCCAGTTTATCTGATTTCTGCGATTGCAAGGGGGGAGGAAGTGAAGAAAAGATGTTACATACATTCAATGAACTACAAATGAAACAACTTGGGCTTAATAGCTCTAAACATGTTTACGACTGTAACCTTCTGATTGTTGGCGGATACAAGCTGTTCATCCTGAAGTTGAGCTTCCAGCTCTCTTGCTTTTTTCTCAGATGTGACAAGGTTCTCTCGAGTATCTTCCTGAATGTGAAGGTAAATAATTGTAGAATGGAAAAGGAATGAGTGTTCAAATAAACAACAGCAAAAAAGCATACCAGCTTAGATCTCAATGTTTCCACAAGCAAACGGATTTCCTTTTCTGATTCCTGAAAATAAAAGAGAAAGGTCCACGCAATACATTATTTCCCAATTCCTGATCATTCCCTAGAATTGGAAAGAAAAGGTAAAACCTGAAGCTTGCTAATAACTTCTTTCTGTTCCCGTTGTTGTCTAAGGTGAGCCTCAGCTTGTCTCTTGATTTCTTCTTGAGCTTCTGCATTCACTTTATGCAGTGCAGACTTTAAGTCTTCTGCAGCCTTATCACGCTCCTCTCTTCGCAAGTCTCTCTCCTCACTTAGCTGTGCCTCAAGCTCACATATATTTGATTTCTGGCTGAAAACGTTTGAATGAGTGGAGAGTGATGTTAAAATTGGACTTCCTATATGCTGAAAAAGCCTAAATGTCTATCCAGAAGAACATCTCACTTTTCTCCCTGGATCAACTAAAGTGCTATATAAAATAATACTTGGGCATATCTGTGCATGAATTTCACGGGAATTTTCTAGGAAGCAGTACGATCCCTCCAGAAGTTTTATCAAAATCTATCAAAATCCTTTATTCCAAACAAGGAGTATTTTACGGTTTGCTGAATCCATGTGCCCTCTAAGATATGGGACCCTCAAGTAAACCAGCAAAATGTCCCAGTTCAACACAACTATGCTGTAAGATACTACAATACATATACCTGTAATTTGGGAAACAAAAGGGTGAAATATACCAGTGTTTTTAAATGACTTTAGTGATCACGACTGAAAAATATATGCGACTTTTTTCTCTTTTTCCTAACGCTAATAACACCATATACGGAAAACTAAAAGTTATGAGTATTGCCACAAAGCATTAATCAAAAGAACAGAAAAAATAACCTCTGAATTATCTCATCAGCCTCAGCACGTGATTGCTTATATGCGCTAAGCCTCTCATCGAGATCTTTTATTGAATTCTGTAACTCTGTATTTGATGTACTAAGTGAATCTATTTGTTTCTGCTTGTACTCTAATGTTTGCTGAAGAGATTTAGCTTGATCAACATAAGTACTCGATGTAATCTCTTTCAACTCCTTCAATTCCTACATCATCAGATTTGCAGAAGACTCAGATATAAGAAAGGGAAATCAAGAGGGCACCTTTCAAGAAATGTAGTCTTTGACAACAAAAGGCGATTTAAAAGGAAAAGCAGCAGTACATTCACTTCTAGGAGAGGGATGGTATAAGCCGTACAGAACACTATTTAGATATTTAGATAGTTTGGCAACACTACCAGTAATTTCTTGACACTAGAATATGGAATATCATCATTAATTTAGTAGAGTGGAGAGAAACATTAGAAGTGGCAGTAGGCAGTAGCACAGTGTCACGCAGTACAAGAAGGGCGATTATCCTAGAAGAGACACAACACCAAGATGCAGACGTAGGATATACCTTTTCATGCTGTGCTTCAGATATTTTAATTTGAGTTCTCAAAGTCTCAATTGTGACAACATGTTCCTCAAGTTGTTCCCTGAGCTCCTGCATGGATTTTTGCTAATAAGGTTAAGAAACTTTCATGGCAATAAAAACTACCATCTTGAACTCTTGAAGGGGTCAACTTACAGCATTAGATTTCTCTAGCCGACGAACATCATCTAGTGAAACAGGACCATCAGAGGAACCAATCCCAAGACCTTTTAGTCTCTTTCTTTCAGAATGAATATCCTCTTTAAGATCAAATACAAATTGTGGTACATATATCATTACTTGTAATGTAGCTGGAAAAATGTAATCACCAAATCTTAGGAAAGCACATGTTCCCTCTTACCTGACTTCCTTTTAAGGATGGTAACTTCATTCTCTGCACGACTGACAGCATTAACTTCACGGTAGACAAATGCAAAGGAAGTATCTGTAGATGAAACACGCAATATAAATGGCCAAAAAAAGTTCGATATCGATTATATACAAGAAAAACAATGCAAGGTAAACAGGGAAAACACAGTAAATATAATCAAGTACACAGAGGTAAACTAGCAGAGGCCATGTGCAGGAAAGCTCTAAAAAAGTTACAAGGCAATGAATTTATCATAATTGTTTATAAGAACAGTAGAGTTGGATCATAGAAAGTGAAAAAAGCTCAGAATCTTTACTGTCATGAGGAGCGGAGACAAATGATATAATGTCCCCGTGATTAAGCTTGGTTGGAGGTGAAATTTTCTTAAGCCTGGTCCAGTTGATGAATGTCCCATTTGAGCTGCAGTGCTACAATAAGTTAATTTAAGAAAGGGTGCTGTTTATTGTAATACATGACAAGATAACCAGAAGCACAAGAAACCTCGAGTCCTTGAGGAAAACAGGTACAGGTTCATTGCGGTTAAGCTCCCCCAACACAGTGTCCCTATATATCTTGCAATGTTTCCCACTGATCTGCAAAGAGGAAATCTTGAAGCTGGATTCCTGAACGGCACGGCCTATGTAGTGCTCATCGGCGCTTAAAAGAATGTTCATTCCCTACAATTAAACAAAATGGCTCCAATCAGCTAACTCAGCACTTTTTTGGGAGCTAACTCAGCAATTTACGATTCAATATCTCAACCTCTTTTCATGGCAATGCTGAATTAGTACTAGCAGTTACAAAAGGAAACATTGGGGGTTTAGGGTTAGGGTTTAAGGGAGGGGGACCTCAGGGCGCAGGCGAGCATTCTTGGAGATGGCCGTCAGGACAGCCCAGACACCGTCGTCGGGGTTCTGTACGGGTTGCTCGGCGAACTTGCGCGCCACCGCGCGCATCTCCTCGGGGGACACCGGCGAGGGCTTGGGCGGGGTGGCCGCATTGCAGGAGGCGGCCTCGTCCTTCCTCGCCGTCTTCGGCGTCACCAACAGCTCGCTCGGTGGGTCCAGCGCCGCCATCGCCCGGCGGCGGCTTAGGGGGGTCGACGAGTGACGCGCGCGGC